TTTTTTTCGGAGGAGTTGGTCGAGACTCGAAAAGCTTCGTTGGGAGCTTATTTGGCCTCATCGGCTGCCAAGCAATCAAACTGAGCTAGGGAGGAAATCAGACCACAAACGAGATTTCAGTTCTTACCTCTCACGCAAGCACCATTGTTTCGGAACACCTTCAACCTAAAACCCCATAATTGCCTGGAGCCCTGAACCCTAATCCCTCAATACGGGAGTTTCGAAAAACAGGGGGCCTCTAATATGGACCTTAAGTAAGAAGATTCCTTATATAAGGGACCCTGAAATGGACCCCCCCTATTTTCGGAAACTCCCCTAAACCCTATAAACACTAAACCCTTAATATGGAGACGTGCATGGTCGCCTGCGCTGATGTCCTCCGCGCAAAGCTCAACAGCTGCCTGCGGCAGCCATGGTCGGCACCTCAACCTGCTGGCAGGTTTGGGGTTTAGGGTTTAGGGTTTAGGCCCTAAACCATCCGAACGCAAGCATTTCAATCGGTCAAATCGTGCTTGCTCTGAACTCCAGGCAAAGGCATTTGTCGGCATGCAGGATATGCTCCCCGAAAGCCTCTCCTATCCACAGCGCAGAGTCCCAAGTCGTAAAGCCAAAACCCTGAACGTCATTGCAACAAGTGGTGGTTGCTATAAAAGTCGGGTCTGGGGTCCTCACTGGATCCTCGCTTCTTCATAATAAGGAGTCTTTTGCTTTGGAACCCACTTCAGTGACCCCTCATTTTCTGAAACTCTCACATCGTGCCTGCCGCGCAGGATGCGATCCAGCAATATTGCGGGAAAGATTCCCATAGCCTGGGATGCGCGAATTTAGCGAATCTTCCATTGTAAGACCCACATGGATGGGAGCTTCCAAAATGGAGTGCATGTTTTGGATTTAAGGTTGAAAGGGATTCGGGGACTTGGAAAGCAGGATTATTGGGTGAGGGTCTTCCCGTACATGTACCTACGTATTCACAGTCCCCCAATCACCCAAGTAGTGGGTGCTCATCAAACATGCATTCTTCCCGTCTGAGAGACCATGGGACAGTCGATGGCTTCAATCCTGGATGACTTCACATCCAGGACCCTAAATCCTGGTAGTATCAGGATCATGCAGGATTCATAGCATCAGCACTATCAACCTTTTTTCTCACACGGCCTGCAGCCCATCTTTTGCCGCGCGGAAGCCATTTCCGCAATCCATGTGTTTGACAACATGAAACAGGGGGCAAAGGTCGGGCACTGCCCTCGCCCCGTAACAGTCTTCAAAGCGGATAAACTAAGGACTTCATGTTTATGATCCATGCCAAAAAACATGATCCGACAGTTACAGGCTGGGAGCAATATCTCATAGGCACGCATATGAAGGACAATCTAATACTTACAACGTCTTTGAGGGACTGCTGGCAAACCCTGCAAAAGCCTAGGGAGCACAATGGTTCCTGTGGAGCCGGCGGGCACGTACCAACACGTTTGCCTGGGCATTTTGCATGAAAGCGAACTCTGAAACTTTCAAAGGAGAACGAATGACACATGACGCAACAAGAGCATCAGCCACGTTGACATGAACATGCACACTCCCACTGACGGCAACAACACCAGCAGGATGTCCATTGGTCTTTTCCTCTCAAATAGCACGGGGGTGAAAGTGCCCGAAGAGGGCCTGTCCAAAACCGCAGAGCATGCACATCCAGAAAACACATCTGGGATGCCACATCCAGAACTCTCATCTGGGATGCCCGTGAATCCGACGGGGCTCTTAGCTTCATCCCCCGCTATTGGAAAGGGCCACGCAACCAATCGCTCTCCCACCGAACCGCGCTCGCTATGGCCCGGGCTCTGGTGGTGTCGTAGCAGTCATCCTTCAGGAAGCAAAGCATCTCACGCGTCAACGCAACGTCGTCCTTGTCCTCCAAGTTGCACATGCGACATGCCGTTGCACTGTCATTTCTCGAAGGAAGGTCAGCGGGGTTGCTTTTTGAAGCGACTGGATCACGCCTCGTCCGACCGCCAGCCCTCTGAGAGCGTACAAAGTTGTCACAACCGCATAGGCCTCGACCTGACAGATGATCTGTTCACCGGCAGCTCGAATCCAGTATTCCCTCAGCTCAACGGGAATCACACCAGCGAGCGACCATCGCGCACCACTGAGCGGGTCCACCACCACGGCTCCCCAAGAACCCTCATCCTTCTCGCAGGCTCCGTCTGTGTAGATGACCACGGGCGGATGCATCGCGGCAGGGCATTTCCGCGGCCGGCACATAACCATAACATCCAGCGCCAACCTGCAGGCCCTGGCCACGCCCTTGTTCGCCTGAGCGGCTTCGCCACCCAGCAGCTTTGACAAGAGTCGTGCCGCTGGCTTGAGCTCAAACCCCATCACTTGGCCTCCTGCGAAATTCAGCAGCCCGTGAAGCATGGCCACAGTCGCCATCGTGGCCACAGCGCCTTCAGCCAGCGGTTGCATGATTTGCCTGATCCTGTCCATGCGCCCAGGCTTGTTTGCAACGGTGATGCTTCCATGCCAGACGTCCTCCAGCTGGAGCTCGACACCCAGGGACACCACGCTGACGGAGAAGGGAACCCACTTCTTGCCGCCTTGGGCGTATGTCCACCCTAAAGTGTCCAGAAGCCTGGTGACGACTTTGTCCAATAACGCACATGCCGGCTGGAAGTCAAACAGCGTGTAATCATCATAGA